TCCCACTTCCTGCCACTTCTGCCAGGCGGAACCACGGATCCCATTTTCATGAATAGTCAATCCTGCCCTTCCTTCTCCCAGCTTTTTTTTCTTTTTTTTTTTAAATGCTGTGTAATATATTCCAGGTTTCACTAAAAATACTCGAAAGCTACCTACCTGTTCAGAACTCTCCAGCACTTTCCCATTTATACCTACGCACTTCACCAAAGTTAGCAAAGTAACATTTTTTTTCTTTGTGCTCAACGACAGAAAATGCCTCAACGACAGAAATGCAAACTCTTCTTTTTCTTCTATTAGGGACAGAATAGCTTAAACTGAGGAACACATGGACAAACAAATGCAATCTCCTCTTTTTTCATTACTCCCTTCTGACTCAAACTACAGATGCTTTATCACCTCTCTCATGCGTCCTAATGCCCCTCCTTGTGTTCTGTTCTATTACTAAGCTTCACAGCAGCACAGAAAGCTAAGTCACTTAAGACCATCAGGTCTAATAAACCAGGACAAGTTTAAGTCTTGCAATCTTTCTGTGCGTTCTCACCTAACTGAGAAACCACTACTACAGATTTCAGAGGCTGAGAAAATTCAGGAGCAACTAAATAGCTCTTTTCCAAGCTCCTATCTAGGAGGTGCAGTTGGTTGTTTGAAATTTCATTGCTGCTTGCACAAAACCGTTTTGTTGTTGCATGCATGTAATACTTTTGCAGTTCTTTTTGATAATGAATTGTTTTCCATATCGCAACTCAGTCTCTCCTAAGTTTCATGGAAGTTCTTTACATACGAAACATACCAATTCCCAACAAACATTTACATCTGAAATAATTTAAAGCATTAAAAATTCTCTTTTGTCAAAAATCCTCAGCTAGGTCCTCCATGTCCAAATAGTAAGCAAGTAGTATAATTTCACTCATAAGCTTTGATACCTTAAAAATACATCATCTGCCCTGACACCAGTTACATTCCAATACCAACTGGGTAAGAAAAACATTTTCCTGGCTGTCTGAAACAATTAACCCCAGAGCTGATTAGAGCTCTTTAATTAGAGAGCCCTGACTTTTTCAGCACAAACTGTTAAAACTGCTCAATTTTCTTCTTAGTAAGAGCACTGCACCATTTCCTATACAGCTTTTAACTCCTCACTCATTTTTTCAGGGTCTCTGCCTGCACCAGAAGCTCTGAAGCAGCACTGGGTTTATTCCTACCCTACTAATGCCTGCCCACTGCCTAGAGGGGCAAGACACCACCAAGCAACGAATCATTCACACAGCACTGTATTATTAAAACAAACAAACAGAAGTGGATGACAATTCATTATCACTAACTCCAATCAGATTGACAGAACAAGCTATCAAAACCAAACGCAAGACAGTGTCAGAAATATTTCTGTTTCATTATTTCAGAAGAAAGGACACACAAGAAAGCTACCTCCTCCTTGAATGATCAGAACAAATAAGACAAAGAAGTTTAGAAAAATTTTAGTGAGAAATCCCTTGTCTAGAACATGGCTTCAAATTAGATAGCAACTTAATACCAGAGGCAAATAGATAATGCTGAGAAACAGGCACAGAACCCAATTGCACAGGCAGCATCCAGACATGGCTGACAAAAGCAGCCTCTTATTTTCTTCAGAGCTTTCCAGCATTCAAGTATTTCTCTTATCAGCCTCAACCAACAGAGCTGTCACCTGCTACCGCCTGCATTTCACCCAGCAAAAAAACAAGCTGATCTGTCGTGTACAAGGCCACCTGCCATTAAAAAAAAAAAAAAAAAAAAAAAAAATCAGCAAAAGAAAAGCGAAATAAATAAGTTTCTTTTCCCTGAATTCATAACATAATGTAGATTGGAGATGATTTATTATGTTGGAAGGCAAGTCAAGTCTTTCCTTGTTGATGCTGGGATCTCAAAGGGTATGGCGAGTACCCACAGAGCAAAACATGCAGTGATACGACATATGCTTAAGGACATGACAATTAGTATTCTTCAACACAGTTTAAACCTAACTTCATGTTGTTTTTTTTGTTTTCTTTTTTGAGACCTTAATAAGGTGCACGTCTTCCTATTTATTTACACATACTGTGGTAGCTCCTACTCACACAATGGCTGTTTTTCCCCCAGCACTGTTCATTCAGTACACATCAGATCTGCCACAGAACCGAGGCAGTTAAGTGTCACGTATGCAATTAGGGGTCTCTGCTTAAATTACTGCACAGGATCTACATGATAACGAGAATAACAACGAACCACTTCCAGAATATCCACGCTTCTTAAACATTGTCAACTACAACCCCCATACCTCCTGCAAAGAATGTGCGTTGATACACATTAGCAAAGAAAATAAATAAATAACATTTGCCAGGATCAAAGCCACGACTATGATTTACTGCCTCCTGAATCCTGCGCTCAAACCCACAGACCCAATGCTGAGTATCTGAAGCTCGCACTGACTTCGCTTTGATCACCGCTGCACACCAGAGCCCAGATGTCTGAACAGAAAATGGGAAAACTCCCTACGAATAACAACAACCAAGACAGGCTCTCCACTTTGGCAATCAGCACCTTCACCACAACGGCTGGCTTTCTCTTCCTGAATACTTTCTTCTATAATTTGGAAGAATAGCTACATTCATTAGATAGCATGAGTCAGAGTAACTTCTTGAACCAAGTCTCTCTTGTGCACATTTTCATTGCCTACCCTTCAGTATTTTATTATTTCTCCTGGCAGCGGTGGGTTTGTTGTTGTTTTTAAGGGAGAAGAAAGAGGAGGAGAACAGAACAACTATTCAATCACACGCAATGGCCTCCTCATCACTCCGCTTCCATGTTAGCAGTACATTGTGCACCCCAGCACCCTCACACACAGCTGTGCAGACGTGAGCATCTCTTCCTAAGCAGCATGTTAATTACTCTGGCAGAAGTTTGTTAAGCCAGGAGGGAATCGATCTGTTAAACTGCATAATTAGCCCGGACAGAGAAGGGACATGGATATCAGAGTGTCAAACGAGAAAAGGTTGTGAACTCCAACCTCAGCTCTCTGTTCTAGGAGGTTATGTCTCCTTCTCCCTTTCAACACTGGAATCACAAACAACCAGCACGAATCCAAACTCAGGTTTCTCCCCTTCCGCTTGCCTGCAGATCCCCAGCACAGGGTCTGCAGCTGCTGCAGGAGCGGCCTTTCAGAGCACTGCCCTTAGGGAACGCTCTGCTGCCAGCATCCTGCGAGCAAAGCAACAGCCATTTATCCTGCCTGCCTTTCGGCACTGAGCCATCACAAGGACAGCTCATTGAGAGGGGGTGGGACACGAACATCTGATAAAACCAGGTCCAGAGTCAAGCCATTACTTTTTAAAATTTCAGAGGCGTCAAGATAACAAAAGTTACCCACAGCACTCGATCGAAAGGAAATGCCACATGAAATACAGCAGCGCTTAGCAGATTTCATAGGAGGTTTCCTGATGGTGATTAGCTTGTTGCTTTTTAAGATTTATCACTGTAGGCTTTATCAATTTGTTATGACAGGAAAAAAAAAAAAAAAAAAGATGATTTAGAAAGCCAGCCCAACGAGTGAAACAAGGCTGTAGCTGTGGTTAGACGTGACATAACCAAATGCTAAGGGCAGTACAAATGATTGCTTCTAACATTCGTAAGGTGGGATTGATTATGAAAGCTACATCCCATATTATCATTTCAGCACTTGCAAAGCCACGAGACACAGTAAGCAAATAAAGCAAAGCAGCAACCGCCAGGCACGTGGATCTGCAACAGCCACAACTGTGAACAAATGGTGCTGGGGTCAGACTGGGTACCACAGGGATTTTGGCAGCACTGATGGCAGCAAGGTCCCAGAGCTTCTCAGAACAAAACACAATCAATACACAAATCCAGAGAGAACCAGCAAATCACAAAAAACGGTCTTTTTTGCTGGTTTTAATGAGCAAAACGCTGGCTGCACAAGGTAGAAATGCTGACAGTGCCTTTTCACAGTGGTGATGCATGTCACATTCCTCTGAAAACAAGAAGAGAGCCAAAATAACAAGAAAAGAATCTGTTCCAAAGGAGGACAGCCTTCCTCGCAGTCCTACAGGTAAGACCTTTTAACTTAAAGCAATTAAAAAAAAAAAAAAAAAAACAACCAATAAACCACAAAAATCAAATTAATACATTTCTAAGCACGTATCAGGAACATTTAAGCATCTGTTCACATTCTACCCAATGTGGCTTCTTGCTTCCCACATTTAAGAACTTACAAGACCATAATTTGGGATTTTTTTCCCCTTCCTTTGTGCTCGTTTCCCAGTTAACATACACACCTTGGTGTGCACGCACTTCGATTCCACAGCAATGCTAACCATATGCCCAAAGCTAAGCATACATTACCTTCTCGGAGGCAGCTGGAAACAGAAACGCACAGGCGGCACAGCCAAGCATATGCTTCACCGAAACCCCAAATGGAACCCGGGTGCTAAAAGAGCTTCAATAATTAACGCCTGAAACCGCTCCGGGATCCTCCGACGAAAGGCAATACGTCAAGGCAAACGTTAGCCTGCTCCTAACTCGAGCCCTAAAGGCTTCAGAACGCATCTACAAATGCGACGACGAACGCCTCGCGGTGGCCGCAGCTCCGCGCGTGGATACGGCGGCGGCCGGCGGTGATTCGGCGGCTCGGCGCCCGCCGAGGACGGCACCCCGCGAACGGCACCTCGCGGGGCGCGCCGCGCGCCTCCCTTCCCTCACCTCCCCTCCCCTCCCGCCTCGGGGCAGCCGCGCTATCAAAGATGGATCCCGCTCCGCTTGGCTCTTCTCTCGCAGCCTCCGCGCAGGTACGACACAGCCGCACCAACACGGTTCTGCTCCGCCCGACCCTGCGCCACAGCCGCTTATCTCCCCCGCCCCATTTTAATGCTTCGCGCAAACGGGGCTCCTCGGGGTCGCGCTCCCCGCGGAGGGAGAGGAGAATTCTCCTCAGGGAAGGCGGGAAGCGACGGCAGGTCAGGGGCCGTTACCTGAGGCCGCCGAGGCGGGGGCTCCCCCCGGTAGCGCCGCTCGCTCCGGCTGCAGGCGGGTGGCGGCAGCCGCCGTCGACCGTCCCCTCAGCAGCAACAGCAGCGCCAAGAGCAGAGAGGAAAGCGGCCCGCGGGTCCCCGGCATGGCGGGCAGCCCGCGGGCAGCGGAGGAGCATCGCGAGCGAACACCGCACCGGGAGCTCCGGCCCAAGCGGCCGCTGAGCCCGCCCCTCCACTACGTGCCGGGGCGGGGCCGCACGGGGGGGCGGTGCTGGGGCTGCGGCGTTCCGTTCGCGCGCCTCCGCGGGTGGTGACCCAGCCGTATGCCAGGCATCGCCGCTCTTTCACAGGAGTTTTTCCTTACACCCGAGCCCAGCCTCCCTCAGCGCAACCCGTCCTGTCACTGGTGCCCGGGAGCAGAGCCCGCAGTGACAATGAGGTGAAACGGCTCTGGCAGCAGCGCCGGGGCCTCACCGCCCTCGGACTGAACGGTGTCCATCATCTGCAGGGCTAAGTGCTGAAAGCGTGTGGGGACTGCCTCGCTGAGCATTTCATGACGGCACCGACGCGGCCGTGCCTTGATTTCAGAGAGGCAGGTGCTGAAGCTTTTCCATGTGTTGCTTCAGTAGTAAACGAGTTTCTTCAGAAGGTATAAAGCTGCTTTGAAATTTATTTCCCTTAAATTAAATAGTAGCCAAATAATGATCTTTATTTTAAACATAGTGAGAAGCCAGGCCAAACCTTGGTGTTCAGACCTCAGATTTCTTCTGTGTAGTAGAAAAGGAATGCAACAGAATACAAACTGTGGAAGAATATTTGTTTTCTCCGCTGGTTACAAGTGTATTTTCTGGGGATTTTTTAACAAATCTAATAAAAATTAATATATTTTTTCTTATAATTTCATGTCATTCTGTGCAACATGGTTGCTTAATTGACGTTAACAATGACTTCATAGAGATTTGGGGCTGTCACTGAAAATATGATTTTGTTACAGTTGCTGAGTTTGCTGAAAAATATGAATTCAGCTGTCTTGCCTTAAGGACAAATTGTGCTGCAGTGGGAAACTTAACGGCTGCCTCAACAGGTAAGATCCACTATTTTTCTTTGCAATAGTTTGAGTACATTGGGTCTCCCTCTTCTTCATCAACACCAAAAAATACATGCTATGGAAAGTATGTCTTCTGAAAGGATCTTTATTTGAACTAAGCAAAAGGGCACAGAACGCAACCATCATTTGGAATTTTGGAGCTCTCCTCTAGCAGCTTACAAAGTGAAGAGATTCTTTTTTGCTCAGTGCCCATGCACCCAGGTAACATCTTGTTAACTAGCTTCCTATTCAACCTCTAACATGGGCAAAGTAAGAGGGCCTGCTTCCATGCCATTGTTGAGAGAGAGGAAAGGGATCCACAGAAAGCTAATTAAATGCTGTAAGCAATTTGTTACCTTTGTTAATCAATGTCTGATGAAGGGTGTGTGGTATTGGGTGAGCATGGATCAAGTAGATTTTCATTTCTAAATATTTGGGCTCTTAGAAAAAGAAAAGATAGACCAAGTTTAGTTGAAGATGGGTGGTCTAACCCATTTGCAGCTGCAGCTTTTTAAATTAACATTGATGGTCTGAATATGCGTAATTAATCTTTTTGAAGTTTGAAATAAATCCATTAAGCACATGTTAAGAGATAATATTATTGCAAACAGTTCACAAAAGGAAGCATTATATGGAAATTTGGTGGTGGTATTGCATTTAGATAAACTTCTAAAAAGGCACTGGCACACCCTAGAAAGTACAAACAACATGAAGTTCAGAAAATAAGAAAAATCACAATCAAGTTTAAAGTTTCTTAGCCAAATTTTCTTCTTAAAAAAGGTTGTTATCTGATAGTAAGTAATTTATTTCACCTTCCTGAGTATTTATTTGAGGTAATACATCCTGCAGAAACTTCTGCAGTCTCCAAAGGTTGGCCTTATACTTTTCAAAATTTGAGTAGATTACAAAATATCTGCACATCATTAACCACCGCAGGGATGCAACATGGCATCTGGTAATATTTTGTCAGAGACTGAAAAGCCTGTACAAAGGAACACAAAATGTAAATGCAGATATCTAATAGAAATAACAAATAGACATGATCTGCATGTGAAGTTGTAAAGACAAGGTATGTATTTTTAGCTTCTTACATTCAAAGGTCTGTTACACACTTGGGCCCTACGAGGTTGGTCTTGGCAAGTCCTACACACCTGTGAATGGAGGTAGTGGCTCAGCACCCAATGTGCAGAAGGTTTATCTGAAAGATGCAATAAAAGATTGTTTCTGGAATACCCTGTGTGTGTGACTATGGATTTCTAACAGCACTAATCCTATCTCTTTGTGAGAGGTTTACACAAAAACTCAAAAAAAAAAAAGTCTCATTTATCACCACAGTCTTGAATTACCTGAACAGGTAATTTTAGAATGCATTTATATATGCTTATATTTATTAATATACCAGTACCTTAGAAACCCAGAGTATGTGAAGCAATATAACAGAGTTGGAGAGAGTAGAGTTCCATTGGTATAAATAACCTCAAGACAGGGACCATCATTTTCTTTGAGGTGATCATTGCATAAGATGGAAAAACATTGAACAAACATTGTCTTCATATTGCTGTACAGATACAGCTCTTGTCATTAATTTCTTAATCATGCATTGTTTTGGAACTGTTATAGAGATATAGCAATCTGTATAGCAGATATATATAATCTGCATATCTATCTGTGCTGATAACTAACTGAAGCTATCCAAAACTAGGCCTACATCAGCTGCACCTGGTACTGATACAACACTCAGAAGCATGTTTCGGTTGCTGTAATAGTGCTTTGTACATGCTTAAACTATAGCTATTGTAAAGGCACAGAATGCTGTTAAAACATAACTAACAGTTTTTCATTATTTCTGTGTCTTTTTGTCATTGTCTTTAAGCCAACAATTTCTCTACTAACAATCCAGGTAACCCAGTTTTGGAGTTTTTCCTCAAGCGTTCACAAATGTCAACATTTAGTTCTAAAAAAAAGCAAATGTGCAATCAATGGAAAGTAAAAGTGTATACCTTTATCGTGACACAAAGTGTTTACTCACAAGGATGATTGTTATTTAGACTGTAATCCTAACATAAAGTTAGGCTAAGAACACAACGACAACAACCAAAAACAATACTTCTGAGACTTCTCCTGGGCAAAGAATGAGAACTGAACAATTTCTACAACGATGCAACAGCTACAGAATCTGAGTTACTTTTGGTACACAGAAATTTCTGTAAGAAAATTGGTTTGGTTTTTTTTGTGATGAGAAAATTCTTTCTGACCACATCCTCATTTTTGCTTGTGGCTATGAATTCTTTTGGCTTGAGATTAACCTACGCTGTTTTACCTGAAAGTGTACAAGTTACGAAAATATGACCTTTTCATGGTTAGTACGTCATGGTGATTGTAAACATATACAATGCAATACTTGAAGGTAAATTAGATATATATTTTTAAAATCTAGGAAAGAAAAATGAAGGAAGCCATGATAGTTAAGAGGTATTTTATTCCAAAATTCTTAACATCAAAATCAACTCAAAATACATTTTTTTCAAACAGGTTATCCGACAATATTTTGAAATTGCATACACATATAGAAAAATACAACCTAATAAAATCAATTTTCAATTAAGATGAAAAGAATGCATTGAAAAGTAAACCATAGCTTAATAGCTATTTTTGATATCAGTACAAAATTACTGTGCTATAATATCCACTTTTTTTTTCAAGGTTTATAATTTAATAAAAATAAGGTGACTTCAAATGCATATTGCTCTCTTTAAATGTACCGAAGACCTTGGAAACAAGTTCATAGTTACTGAAAATATTCCCGTTCATTACAAATATTTACTACATAACTAAGAAACCCAAAACGCAGCAGTCTCATTAGTATGTTAATTTTCTGCCTGTGCAAACTATGCTATAATGATTTAATGCACGAGCAAAAAATCAATGAAAAAATTCTATTACCAAGAAAAACAACCTTACATTTTCAACATAATTATATCATAGCAAATACCAGTTGCCTTCCTGGACTAGAAAGGGCCACCTAAACCTGAAAACATCTTTTGAAGATGCTTTTGAAGATTCTGAAATGCTACATCAATTCTTCATTTTCTTTACAAAAGCCAAAGGTCAAGTTATTCAATCTTAATGAAGCATATCTGGAGAGGTCACTGCGTGTAATGCTAAGTTCCTTGGGTTATTATTGAAAACTTTTACACAATGGAAAAAAAAAAAAAAGACCAACATTCTATGAAACAGCAGTAGCACTACAGACTCAAACCCATTTTTGTACAGCCTCTAGACACGTTTTCAAGAGTCGACTTAAAGAATATTGTACCAATTCTCAATAATTCAACATTTAGTAATGGATATAGGTTAGAATATACATCTTGTTTCACCCAATGTGGGTGGATCAACATCTTTCTACACCATTCATTTATCATTTCATTTCGTCACACTAGTTTTGTTAAAGTTTTGAAAAATATTGACCGCTGCAAGTCAACAAATGCTACATCCCTTCCTAGACAAACAAAACCAGACATCTTGGCAGTGAACTAGTTCTGATCATGGTATATTGCACTTGGGAATGAGAAGCTAGAGATTCTGTACCAAAGAGCTCAGATCCCACTCCCATCTGTGAGAATCAGTAGAGCTCAGCATGGAATCATGCTCCAATGTATGCCATTTGTTTGTAATTGAAGGCCACTGCCACTACTTATGGGTTCATCCCATCACTCAAGTGAGCAAACAAAGAACTCTGACTTCACCGTAATGCTCATCTTTGGTCTGCCAACTACTTTTTATACTGGACTTCCATTTTCATTTCATGAACTCCTTTGTTTTGTCTTCCTTATTAACATTGAACGTGAAGAGTATAATTGAAAGGCAACTGCAGTGAATTTAAGGTTTTCTGTCATTTCACTGGACTGTGGCTTGATATAGACCAAAGAAAAAAAAACTAACTGGATTTTCACCAGTGTAATGTTGGTCTATTGCTGACTATTTGGGATGGGATGGGATGGGATAAATACTTCAGGACCTAGGGATAACCATCAGTAGAGCTCAGTGTTGCAGAAAATTGAAGTGCAACATGAATCCTTTGAAGGACCAAGAACATGCTGATTACAGCTAGAATATTTTTTAAATACTCATGAGAGTTTAGCTAAATGGCTGTTTAACCCTAGTTACAAATTGAGAAACATAAAAACATTGAAGCCTCTGCTTGGAATAAACTTTTTTTTTTTTTTAAGAAAGTACATATATAATAAACTTTCTTAAGAGTTTCATAAGCATTACATGAATCTAAGATCCACACGTCAATCACAATTTAGAACAGTGGGACAAGTAAAATGATAAACTTGGTACTAACCCCGTCGACATCTCTCAAATATTTCCATTTATGTTAATAAATGTCTGACTTTGCAGTCATGGTTAGGCAAAAGCTATCTCAATTTGGTAGTGTTTCTTGGGAGAAACAACCGTTCAGTTAGATCCTCCTCTTCACATTTACATTATTTCATTTTTCACTGTAAAAGATACAGCACTTGATAATGTTTCCATTGGCTAAAGAATTACGTAGTTCCTGATACTATATACATAAACATTTGCTTCTGAAACATAACTCTCTGAAAAGAAGGCTAAGACAATTATTTGATACTGTATTTCTAGTGGCTGCTTCTTAATGCTTGCAGTATGCATCTTATTTGCATTAGTTTCGACTCAAGGGCATTAATTTCACTCCAAAATACATTTTTTAAGTTTATTTGAAAGTTTTAACGTCTCTCTAAAATATGTGCTATAAGAATACATCAATGCTTGTATGCCACTGTAAAATTTATAGTGACACAAGTGCATGTGTTTTCTTTAACCATACTATCAAGTTTAAAATGCAAAATGTACATCCCTGCCTGTACATCCCTTCAGAAAAGCAGTCTCTTCAGAACCCTCCTGAAAGAATAACATGACTTGAAAGTGAATTTGGGATGTTGTATCTATTGACATTCTCTGTATGCTCCATTTATGTATGCTACTTTTCTTTCTTTAACCAGTCAAAGTGGAAATTAATGGATGTGGGAGAAGTAACTACTTGCATTTATTCTCAAATAGAACGTTGGAAAATAAAAATTGTTTAAATAAGTGTTTATGTAACTTAAGTAAATGGAAGAAACTTTCCATAGCTACAGTACATGTACCAACAAAATGTACCTCTTTATCTTGAAGAACAGCAAAACGATTTTCCAGTTGCCACAGTAAAATTAAGACATAGTTAGCAACGACATTAACAGGGCTACAAAAACCCTTTCACGTCAGCTGAAGAGATCTTGACCATGTTTTGTTGTGCTGTTTTTTTTTTCTCCTCATCTGCTTATAGTGCCTAGACATGCGAGTAGTCTAAATAATTTCAAGTCAACCCGATATGTACATGTAAGGAAGAAACACACAAGAATTAGAGCTATGGATCTGTCTGGCAGTCCCTTAAACCTCTTAACCTACTAAGTTTAAGACTGGGAAAAACAACCTTCTTGCACATAGATAATTAATTGACAAGGTGTGAGAAATAGAAGCCTGCGTAAGTAACTACAGTTGTGTTTTATAGAAGTCACATTTTGAAGCCAGGATCAAAGCCTGACTCTCAATTCCTTACTATATTACTAGTAACATTACTAGAAGCAAATGCAAAAGCATGACCTTGCTCACAATAAAGACCTGGGAAATTCAGGGAAAACAGAATTTTGCCCTATATTCTCTCAAATAAACTAATTAGATCTGAGCAACTTGTTTAAAATAGAAATGTGTACATGGATAATATACAAACCAAGATGTGATATACAAACTGGCCCTCACAACCTTTTTGCTGTCTCCCTTAACTCAAATGCCTTTATGGTCTAGTGAGTAAAAGTGGACTTAACAAAAGCTATTTGTGGATTTTATAGCTCAGAAAGGAGGAAGAAATTAGAGTCAAATCATATTGTTTGTTTCAAGTAATTCTGGGTTCACTGGACATTGCAACATTTATGGGAGAGATGCAGATGTGAATGAAAACCACAAATTACAAAATGAGTTTTTGTCCCTCTAAGAACTTTTTTTTTTTTTAAACACAAATCACATTAATTAGAGAAGGAATGCTTCTTTCTGTATGTGGCTGAATTCTTTTCCAGAATAGAGAATAAACAAGTCTCATATAAGGCATCTTTCTACCAGTTTAAGTATGTTCACTCTAAGATTTGTGCAACACAGCTACATATGCGAGCCAAATACCTGCTTGATTTGCACTTACTTACTAAAATGCATACACACTTTTTGTACGCTCTCGTAAGTATATGAGGCTTCACTTTACTAGACCAGTAATGAGAGAATTAAGCTAAGAATAACTAAAACCAGTGGCTCGAGCCCACTCACATTATTTTATGTATATAAACCAGCAGTGATATGAAATAGTCTCTCTTCTGGCAATGAAATGTACTGAACATAATTAAACATCTTTTGTGCAATCAAATATACAATGAATGAATGAATTGGAGCAAGCCAACTCAACCTTCTCTTTTAAAACCCTTTCATTTTGCCTGCTATACTCTGCTTCATTTGACAATCTCACCACTCTCTTAGGGTAGGTGGAAGTGAGGCTAATGTACTGATGTAATCGAGACACAGGTGGCTGGCACAGAGCATAGTTAAAACCATCCCTGTTATCACTATTATCCCGCACTTGGATGTAGTCAACTATGCAATGTGAGAATTATTAACATCTTCTCCTAGGTGCATCAGGTCAACTGTCACTCAGGTAACCAATGGCTTTGCCAGAAACCGTAATCCAGCCAGCCCAAGTAATATACAGACTCAGACTCCAAACCCTGTGGAGGTTTCATCTTTGGAGAAAGGTTTTCTCATCAGATGTGTCTGTGGGCAGCCATGGTCCAAAGGCTTATCCCTGGTCATTCCTAAAATGCACCATGCTGCCAAGACACTGTGGGACATGTGGATCTTGCTGCATGAAACACATAGTACAGTTTTTAGATCTTGCCCTGAATACTTTTGTTAGGTCCCATATAGAAAGTACATGATCTCCAGCCCTCTACCCCTCCTGTGGTGTAGGCTCAACCCCTTTTGTAGGGAACCTTGGACCTGGAGGACAGTATCTGTAGCATCTAGAGGGAAAGCTCTAGACGAACCTCTAGACAGGAGAGCAGATGAGAGTGCACAACAGGCATCACATCTGGGATTCCACTGAATAATCTTTCATGTATTTTTTGAGCAAGAGGAAAATCCCCAGCACAGTTAATGAGTCAAGGAGTGGTTTTTGTTAGTTTTTTTTTGTTGTTGTTTGTTTGTTTTTTGTTTGTTTTTACAAAATTCAACAAGCCGTGGTCATTTTTGTGCAACTAGCTTTCAAGAAGTGGGAAATAAACTGTAGTGTACAGAAAAAAGTAACTGTTGAAACAACATGTAATCGTTCAAGTATCTATGGAAGCTGTTAGCTTCAGCCTAATAAAAGGAGTCTGTGTAGTAGTTCATATAAAGTCGGTCTCTTAAAAACATGTCTCCTGCATCCCAATAAGCAAACTCACAGCACTACGTTTTACTTAACAGTTTTCACACGCAAATCAGTGCAGACGTGTTAGTCACATGTATGGACATGATTAATACAAAAAGGAGGATTTAAATATATTGCTCTCATTATCTGTGTGCTGATATCTTCTGACACCATAATCCTTGCAGTCATGAGTTGTTTTTTTTTTTTCCTTAGGGGGGAAACCTGTATTTGTAACTAAGATGTAGGCATTTTAAGGTTTTAGAATGTCTTACAGATAAAACTCTGCTTAAGCTTCTGATGTTCCTTCCCCATTCTCGTGTGGTTGCAGCTGTTCTCTTTCTTGTTCTTCTTGAGGCGGTCTCACACGTTTGAAAAAGCCCATCTGTAATTCAGAAAACAGAGAAATTGAACCGTGTTATTTTCAAACATACACACATCTTTTTCTTTCTGCATCTTGAACAGACTTCATCTTATCAGCTACTGATTCTTTTTTTCCTGCCACTCACTTCCATTTGATTTTTTGACCTCTAAGGCCAATAATTACCAGATACACAGATTAAACTGATTATTTCAGCACAATCACAGACGTTCTCTTTTTATTATTGAACTTCTCCCTGACAAAGCAGAAAAGTTTTTATGGCTAACTAAAAAAGTTAACACATACAGGTCACCAGGAAAACAAGTTATTTCTGCAAGCTGCTGCTACTATTTGAAGTAATACACCACTGGTACTGAAATCAACCCTGAAGTAAACAATACTGTACTTACCCTGTACATAACGAGCACTAGAACAGCCAAGAGCAATAATCCTGCTAGGACAGCTAAAATTATAACCCACACTGGCACAGGCATAGGCTGTGGTTGAATGCCCCATGTAATATTTGTAGTAACCTAAAAGAAAAACACAATAAAAACACATTTTGCACAGCAGTTGAATTGTGAATTCATTCATGCATTTTAAGTACTGCTTATCTGGTTTCTATTGTAATTAAAATAATCTCAATCCAGCAGAAATTAACTTTTCACTCCAGTGTGAGTAAGCAGCCATAGAATAGTGACGAAAAGGCTTCAGTGACCCAAATTTAATAGGATTTTCACAAGTTGTTTGTGGTTTTTTTTTTTCCCCTTCAGTCAGAGATACCATGGCAACCTGTACTGAGAATCACCAAGCATTATAGAACACAACTGCAGGGTTTTGGAAATGTTTTGAAAATTAGAGAAAAATTCTTCACTGCTTTTCTTTTTTTCCCCTAAAAAAGTAAAATTCCCTTACAATTCCTTGGCAGGAGGGATTCAACTCCTGAAGTTCTAAGAGCTAAAAAGCAGTTAATAATAGTCATTGGCATCTATACTCTAAAATAAGCCAAGGTCCTTTTTCATCTCTTTTACACTATAATGCACTGTAATGCCAACCAAAACCTTATTCTGGCAGCCAAATAGTGACCCATATCTTTCTTCCTGTTTGCACCTTGTCTCCTTTCTCTTCAGACCTCTCTAGGGCACAGATGGTCTTCAGTCTCACACATTATAATACAATCAAGGCCCAATATTTAGACTTGTAAGTGCTACTACAGAAAAGCACAATTTTCAAAATCAAATATTTCTGTAGCAAAATTGCTGTTAACAAGAATACTTAGAACTCTTCACCATGACTTCCTTTTCTCGTTTTTCAGTTAATTCTTTAAAGCTACAAATCGTTTTAACTCTAATTTTAGCACAGAATATTGCCATTATTCTCAAGTGTTCTGAAATCAATGTACGAATTAAATATTTGATACAATTAGAATTAAACGAAGCCACGCACAGCTATTGAACAATCATTCTTTTTGTACCATTCACAAAATAATTTATTTATTTATTTTTACATCCAACTCAGGGTGGATGTAAATGACTTACCACTGTGGAATTGTGAATATCTTCAAAAGAAAGGTTCTTGTAAGGGAACTCTATAACATTGAACGAAGCAGATGATTTAAGGGAATAGGAGTGATTCTGATTTTCTTTCTATAGAAGAAGAACAAAATTAGTATTGTGTATGTATATAAAATCACTTATTGTGTTTCAGAAGAAGGATCATACTGTATCCATTTACTTACGTTCATGAAAGTTTGGGTCCAAAGTCGTGATTTTAAATACAGTATTGCACTCTTCCCCCTTTCCAGGTGGCCAACTTGGCAGACTATCTTTAAACAATCAGCATTTCCACAGCCCTGTGCATGGAAAATAGAAATGATATGAGAAAGATTAAAACATTTGAATATTTGTTAACGCCATTATTTATATAGGTACTCATTCTATTTGCTAGGCAATGCACCGTAAGCTATTTAAGTACATTAAATGAAGATCAATTTTAAATGACTACTGACAGTGTTCAGTAAGTTCACATTCAGAAAAATGCTACTCAAGCCAGTTCTACAGTTTTGGATCCCAAAGCTGAAACTTCTGTCAGTACGTATGAAAAAATTTCTGCAGACTGAAGGGCATTTCTGATCAATTTACATTACCATCCTCCACATTTGTTTCACTAGGAAAACTCAGGTCTAAGTAACTGCAACTAGTAAAACTACACTTTGCTCTTCAATGTGGTCTGACTCACTGACCTAAACTGTAAGCTACTCCTTGCAGCGAAGGCAATGGGTACAGCACTCGTCTGCTTCTGTTTTACCTGCATTGCATGTCTTCCTCCTATTAAATTCAAGAAATAGCACAATACAGAAGTAAGGCACTGAATGTCTAGAGTTCTGTTTTTGAAGGCATAAAACTTACAACAAATCTGCAGCCACACACATCATTGGATGGCTACAATGGGAATAATGCACACATTGGAGAAAAATAAGAACAAACAAAACGCATCACACAGCTCCAGAGAATGAGATTCTTCGTCTGTTATCCTTTAAAACACAGAATGAACCCTAGCATGTTTTCTGAAGCAATGCTTTGTCACACAGAGCTTTCATCTCTCCATTATAAGCCAACATACTGTGGATACATCGACGTTAAAAGCTTACCAAGGTTTGCACGTCTCCTTCAATGGCAGTTAAATCTCTCCGACTGATACGATGATTGCGATTATCTTCCCTGCTAAATGTTTCATTCTTCTCATCCTCTTTTGAAGCAGAAATCTGGATAAACCAAGGAAGCCCAAACAATAATTCTTACCTTCAGATAATCAACTACTTGAATGTTCAGTTAAAACTTCAAGAAAATAATACAACTCCTCTTTCCATCTTAGTGAAGCTTTGCTTTCCGCTATAGCTGTTATCAAAGCATTACTCATGCCATTTCTTGACCACTGCTAAATTTAAGATCTAACAAAAAGCCTTGAATAACTTAATTCTTCAACTCAAAACATTTTCAAGTGCACAATGAACATATAAATACTTAGATGGCAATGGAAATCTGATTTTGTCATGTTCTATTAAGTATTTTTCCTTGTCATTTCGGATTTCTTAGTTCTGAAAAAAATAGCACTAGTATTGTATTGATGTACCTCATCACTGTCCGTGTGTACACAGACATATAAGAGAGACCTGAAAAAATATAGAATAAGTTTATTCCAACCTGGGAAAATGGAGTTTCTCCTCTGTTCTGTTCTTTACAAGCTACTTGTTTCAATTGGGCTTAAGTAAATATTATTTTCTCCAGCAAAACACACCTATTGACCAAGGTGGGATCTTTGGAAGTGGCTAAGCAACAGAAAAGCTACTAACATTAAAAATAAAGCAATTTTGTCAAGAAACAAAATCTAGAAAATTTACATGAATAGCCCTGAATTACTTGGAATATTTTTAAATCTACATTCAACAGAATTCAGTTGCTTTGGTCTTTGTTCAGATAGTATGGCTTTCAAGAAAAAAGCAAAAGGAAATCTGACACAAATTTGTCTTCAATTTGGTAATCTGTTATCTACCTTTTATTTTTATTCCACCTGCCATGTACATTAACAAGTACAATCAAACACTGTGGTCTTGCTCCTCAACAATAGAGGAACACTCAACTCAGTGTGTTAGGTATTTCGATTCAGGTCTTTTTTAAAGTCTTTGCAAATAAGCAAACATATTGCATTTCACTCAAACAAAAAGGAAAGTACCATATACCTTAATTTTCAATGGATTGATCTCCATATCAGAAGTGCAGTTCATGGGACCATCGATGTCATACTGAACAATATACAACAGCGTATAGTTTTTGTATTTGTAAGGCCACTGCAGAGTCATCATCACCTTGCTGAAAGCACTTGGGCCATTGTTTCTCAGCTGATTATGAAAAAAAAGCATTACAGATGTAAAAAAAAAAAAAAAAAAACATATATATATTTAAAAAATGCATGTAGTTTATATATAATACATATAGTACATGTATATGTGTATATAAATACACAAGTATACACACACACAGTGGTTAGTTTATATTTCAGCCACAAAAGATACTTACATGAAGGTCGCTACCCCCAGCAACTTAGAGCAATAACATCAACAACTTTACCTAAAAACGGTAACTGAACTACAGTCCCGCAGCAGTCAAAACTTGAAATTATTTCTGTAACACGATGGGGAAAAAAACTTCCAAGGAAAGCTTTTTAGCATTAATTTTTTCGCCTTGAAGCAATGTAGTTTTTGTAGTGTCATCATGAATCACTGCCTCTGTACGTGTCTCAGCCAAGACACCCTGAGCACAAATAACATACACCTCTAATTTTCTTTAGATAAATGGTCTCTTATAAGTTCGAGAACTTTCACTATTCCTGTTCACACAGCTCTCTCAGTTTTGTTTGATTCAACTGTCTAGACTTAAGCTGTGATCATTCTTCTAAGGAAGTTTTTAATACTTAAAATTGTTCAAGACTTTTACAATAATGATTCAGAACAGTTGGAATACTAATGAGAATACTAAATAATTTACAGCTATGAATTATTTTCTGAGTTCAAAGTACTTCAAATATTTTATCTAGATTTCAAAGCGCTAGAAAAATCTTACAGACAATAAAAGATGTGTAACGAAGTTATTAAAAAAAAAATATTCTCTTGTATTTGGCCACTTCTGTTACAGTAATTGCAGGCATTCAAACCCTTCTTGCAGATACTACTTATTAACCCAGTATAATTAAGTTTTTGTTTCTACAGAAGAAAAAAGTAAAAGAAGATCATCCACTTCAGCAGAAAGCTACACTGAAGATTTCTTTATTCTCCTTTATCACAGAACAGTGTAATTGAAATTAGTAGAAACTGCATACCTCGTAGATATGCTGAACTAGAGGCCCTATATCATCTTCTGTTTCTGGATTCTCCTTGGGCTGCCAATTTGCAATAGGAAGGAATATGTGATCAGGAGATGACACGCTAAACAGTGGAGCAAACAATTAGTTATAATCAGTTATGAAACATAAAATGCAGTTCTCTAGAACATCTCAAAGAAAGCAACTTGCCTAAAATACCATGTACAATTTTTTCAGCCACTATGTTTAAAAACTACATTGCCTTTCTACCAAATACTCAAAATAAGATTAGAAAATGAGTGTAGTAGAAATCAAATCGTGACAAGTCAGGAATCTGAGTTAACTAACTAAGCAAAAGGATCTTACGGCTTTTAGCTATGGAGTATATGTTCACCAAGTATAAGAATGAAGGTTAAATGGAGTCATGATAATATTAATACCATGCTTAATATTGAAGATGGTGAAGCCACTGCAAGTTTATCTTTAGAAAGACTTAGAAATTTAGAAAAGGTTTGTGGAGGAGGAAAGCAATCTGGAGAAAAGTGTGCAACTATGAAAATGAGGGATGTGTTCCCTCCAGCACACCCCTTGCCTCCCAGAAATAACAGAAGCATAACAATCATCCATTTTTTCAATTAGCTTTGCAATTTTTCAGAATTATTTAAGATTGGCAACTCCGAATTGTGGCTGGAGAATTACACGTTCTTTATGATTAAAAACTCCTTATGATTTCATGAAAAATAACACAGAGAGACCTGAAAGAAAGATTATTGAATTATAAAGAAACAAACACAATGCTCACTTGAGGGGAAAAAAAAAAAAAAAAAAAAAAAAGTATTAAAATAGTATCAAGCCTTACCCTCTGATTTCAACAGCTGCTGAAATGGCAAGGTCAACCTGATAGAATGCTACAGGACTTAGATTGTCAAACAGGTTGGAACTGCAAAGAAAAATGAAGTGAATTTGTTAAATGAAATAAACTAAGTATTAAAAACAAATATACAAATGAAAAAACATTGAAGTGATCGGATGTAACACAACAGAACATGACACCTGAGCCACTGTAGAAGAGCAGATACATTAAACTAAAAGAGCAGACAACCAGATGGACCTCCAAGTGGCATGGTAGATAGCTGGCAGCAAGATTATGTCCAAGCTACTAACACTTTTCCACTATGCAGTGTTCTTCCAAAGCCAGGAGCAAGAGAAGAGAAGGGAATAGTATTTGTACAATGACATTAAGACTGAAAGAGACAATGTATAAAAAAAAAAAAAAAAAAAAAAAAAAAAAAAAAAAAAAAAAA